AAAATAAACTGTGCATTCCAAAATGAACGGGAACTAAAAATAAACTGTGAATTTCATTTTATTTCGTTATTCTGACCAGTCGAGCATACTTTACTTGCAGGAGAGTTAGTTTCAATGTGGGAAGGTGCTGTTTCTAGGAGAACTAAATGCAGTTATGTTCAAGAGTAAATATTTAGTTTTCATTGTCTGATTTTGTACGTATTTTGAAAATGTGCCCTTTCGTATGCGGCATTTGATGTACCCCTCATTCTGCATAATCCGCAACAGCGTGTGTATACACACAAATGCGATTGAATTAATAAAATATACCTAATGTGTCGTTCAGTTACTTTCTTTTTTTTTTTTTTTTGCGCGCAAAAGAAAGAGTGGGAAGATTCTTGTTAAGCATTTAGATCGCCTTCTGAAAATGCCTTAATGACTAACACTTTTTAAATGGCGGCATGAATAGTGATGGGTTTGTGGTGTTTTTGTTCTGTAAATAAATAATTCAGGTGTATTTTTATTTGCAGAAGAAAAGTTTAAATGCATTTAGTGAAATGCAGCAATAACGAGCCGCCAAGTAAAAAGAAAACATACCTTAATATAGAAAAAAGTATTCATTTTGATTATTTCGAATACCATCCAGTACTTTAATAAGTTAGAAAGAAGAAATATAAAGGACCAGAGAACGTGAAAGCATTGCACAGAGGAAACACCGTTATTAGTCCCGGAGATTCCGTGACCTATTCACTTTAACACCCGAAAGTTCGGGAACGTAATATCACCGAAAGACCCAACGAAAACTATTTACCGACTGAACATCTTGGACGACCTCGGACGGTCCCCCGAACAACAGACAAGGAGGGGCCTTCATAAATCCAGCCGAATGAGCAGACTGTAACTTTGGAGCGCTTCGTCGTTTATCGTAAAAAGAGAAGCGCGCATCCCAGCCGAAAACACTGATGGAGACGCACAGGTATTCAAAGGACGCGATTCATATTTATTGACTGTTCAATGCAATCTTTAAAGTTTTGCTAAACTATTATTTAAAAGAAAACGCTTTATAAAAAAACTGATACACAATATCTAATGAAACACGCGATTTCGACAACCTCCTCACTTCTCCTTTCACGAGTCGAAAGCAAAATTATGAACTGAAATGACACGTTGGCAGTAAAATACTTTAGCTACTTGTTTTTGAAGTAGAGCTCTCGGATGGCCAAAAAGCATGCGTTTCCTGTAAGGCTCGTCAAAATATGAGGCGTTGGAGATTATCAACCATCTGCGTTCCTTATTTTGCATTATTTTGCTCATCTTCTCCCCATTTAAAAGCGCAACGAAAAAATTCGAGTACACACCTAATTGTGAGATATCCCAGTGACCTTCCGCACAATAAAGTTTTTCTGCTATAATAAAAAAAAATAAAAAGACACACACTCGAACGTATGATCTGAAGCCAGATCGAGCCGGGCCGTTCATCCGAATTCCGTTTACTACCAACTCGGCAGAGCTACACACTAAACATTATAACACCCATAATCGTGTAAAAAGGGTGTAAGTTAGGAAAAACACCCTTCTTACACTTCATTTACACGATATTTGAATATCGGTGGGTGTAAAAAGGGTGTGCTGATGTTTTTCATCCCTTCCACACCCTTTTTACGACCTCGCTTATTGCGATGGCGTCTGAAATCGTGTAAAAAGGGTGTATGGGCGAATTATACGCCCTGTATTAACACGGTGTGAAAGGGGCGTTATGGTGATGCCAGTCTAATACACCCATGATTTCATATCCGTTAATGCTTATTGCTTTGCTGAAACTGTTGCTGATGTACGGCGGTATAAACATCCAGTATAATTAATCGCTACACGAAGTCGCGTATGGTTAGGAAGTGATGGAGTATAGTTTTTGCAACTCCGATCGAACTCTTCGTCCGAGAGGAGCCGAAAATTACGTGTCGCGTGTGCGTCAGTTTCATCAGTTCAACTTCGACTTAAAAACAAAACATCTCCACTCGCAAAAGATGAACGAAGACGTGTCAATATACAACCCAAACAGCACACAGCATTGCGCCGATATAGGATCAAATATGAAAAATTGCGCCGTTACCATTTTGGTCCAGCCAATATCTGTGAAAAAAAGGATGGGTCGCGGCGACGCCATCCTGACATACCGTAGGCGATGCCGTTTTTGGTTGAGCGTCAAGATTCCCGCATGAATGGCCTATGCCGGCGAGGTATGTCTATTTCTTAACCGCCTAAAATCCGACGTTAAAAAAGAAAAGAAAAGCAAGATGAAGCAAAACGGAATCTGCTTACTTTTAACCAGAGAAAGACCTCCTGCGCTGAACCACTGAACAAACTATGGGCCGTGGCGCCCTCATTTCGTGTATTACAAACTCACCTGACTGGCCCTCGCACTACTTATAGCACCTTCACTGAGATTTTATTTTTGTGTGTAGTTCTAACGAAACAATTCCGCAAGACAATCGAAAGTGCCGAATTTATGACACCCCGGCTATAGTACGCGATCCTTAGTTGACACCAAAATATCTAGCCTCCCGACGCTTTTTTTTCCTTTTTTTTTTCTTTTTTCGTACGGGTGAAATTGCATCTCTTGTTTCATGCGTTTGAATTTGTTTTGTGTTATTTATTTCGTGATTTCGCGGTCGGCATCAGAGCACGCACGCCACTGCGTGAAGCAAGTCCTGACGTGTCCCATTTTGCGACCCTCCTTGGGCAGCCCAGGTGGCTTATACAAAGCCGCAGAGGGAGATTAGCTGCTTTGTCCACCCCTCTTTGACCTCGTCTTCTGATAAGCCTCCACACCTTCTTTTGTGTCTTCGTGTGGCTATGAGCGAGTGCGAAGGCCGCTTCTAGCAAATCAGAGGGGTGGTGTGTAACACGTGACCGTTCTCCGTGGGACAGGGACGCTTGGACTATAATGTCACGTGACTCGCTCCGACGCGCTGATGGGCTCACTGGGGCCGAAGTCTTTGCCGTATTCCAAATTACGGTGAGTATAGGGGCCACGTAGGTCCGGTTTCTAAAAAGCTTCCGTCAGGCGTCAGTGTTCTTCTGTTTTTCGTGCGTTGCAGTCGCAGCCGTGGTTTTTCGTCTTGAACGGCCGGAATACGTTCATACTAATTTTTTGGTAATATTTGTGAATTTCGTCGGAGTCCATAGAATAATTGTGCTGTGCTTGTTGGACGCGTTTCGACAAAGAACTAACTGCTCGTCGGCGCTCGTGAGACTTCCGCTGATTGTGATCGACCGCCTTCATCCTCGACATTGTGTTTGCGTAGTTTTGTGCTGCCCTAGTCGGATTGTGCATCTATCACGACAGAGAGCTGCTCATCGGCGACGGCGAGAGTTCCGTTGAATGTGAGCAACCGCCTTCATCCTGGACGTTGTGTTTGCGAATTTTTCTGTGGTGCCCGAACCGGATTATGCAACTATCACGGATTACATGAGATCGGTGCTTTATTTGTAAGTACTCTGCAAGCATGCTTCTGGTAGTAGTCCTGCTTCCGTCTCAATAGACCATTTTACTGTTTACAAGCATGAACTGCTGCTTACGCCTCAATCAACTCCCGGTCGTTCCGTCTCTGCCAGCCTGTCGTGTTTTGCCTACGTCAGCAGAGCTAGAAAGCTTTAAAGTAGGTTTAGGCGAAGGAAAGCCTTATTTAAAGTTTGAGTGCATTTATTTTAAGCCTCTAAGAATTTTGTAGCTTTGTCACAAAAACTTAACACTAGGTCACAAATGCCAGCATTTGAGGTTTGACATGGGTTTCTCGCGAATTCGCGAAAGAAGAAGATGAGGTCCATGCACGTTTTTTCTGGATTCAAAAAATAAAGTGTTCCACATGTTTCAATTTGTTAGCAATCATTTCTCCGTAAATACTTTTTGATGGAGTGCTGTGTTACACATTTAGTATAACTTCTTGTAGCTGAATGAAGTGAGAGTTACTGCGCAGGCGAGCTGGTGAAGGATCATGGTGAAAAAAACCCAAGACTAGGACAAAAAATCGGGACAACACAACACGTCTCAAGACATTTTGAGGCAGTATTGTGTTTTCCCAATTTTTTTTGTCAGTAGTCTCGGGGTTTACCCACCATGCTCTTCTAGCTGCAGTACACGTTTTTGGTAGGGTGTACTGCTGCCATCACACCCTAATAAATAGGTGTAGAGCAGAATCACTCCTTTCTATGTAGGGTGTAAGGGATTACACCGGTTTTTGAGGGTGTGATAAATAACACCATTTTTCTAGGGCGTTTTTGTACACCAATAAGGGGGTGAGTTGTGACCCATGCCATTTACACCAATAAGGGCGTGAAAATGTTTAGTGTGTAGCATGGAACTGAAGCCAGACTTGGAAACAGACCGCACTTCGCACAGTAAACCCTCGTTCTGCTAAGCATTTCATGGGAAAAATTGATTATAATTAGCCACCCAAGCATGTTTTAAGCCTTATCGTAGCGACTAAGGGTTCGCAGGCGACCATTTTGACATCTCAGATCCTACTTTCACAAGGGCGCCTTCGGCTCTGGCTATCTTTGCCGCGTTAACGCTCGCAGGTGGCAGAAAATTGCGTGTTTCGTTGCCGGCTTCAGACGACGTTTTCACGTATTCGTTCGCAAAGAAGTAGCGTTGTTATAAAGATGACGGTGACCATAGAAGACGGAATCTATCGTGCCGATGGAGACGGTGGGGTAGCGAGATCAGGAGCATGCGCGGGCTTTTTTCGCTGTGATTTCCAAAGGGCGGAAGGCGCTGCAAAATAAGTTGGAAATAAGGACTTAAACATGATGGCTAATTTTTTCTATCACCTAAGAGTTTGACGAACCTAGACGAAAAGTGTTTTTCGAAATTTGTATGGAAATTATTGCACTGTAACGCTGGGTTGAACTACCAATGTGCCGGTATCTTTTTCGAAGGGAAGTTGTGTGTGATAGAGCAACGCAGCAAAAACTAGCAGATCGCACGAGCCATATAATAAAAAAATGAGCATTATACAAACCTGAAATTCCTTAGGTGGGAGTTCATGGTTCACACTGTAGTAAGCTTGCCAACTTGCCTATAGGAAAAAAAAATCAATCATAAGCCCTTTTGATGTAGGCATATGTCGGTGCTTCCCAGTTGTTTTACTTCAAGTATATTACCGATCGAACCAACTTCCAAACTCGTGCTATCTTCATATGCACATTCTTGCTCAATTAGGCTTCTGCTCAACGTAACTTATGGGGTATTCACACGAGAAAGAAATCCCGGGAATTTCTCCACGGCACGCGCCTCCCGCGACGAAAACGTCAGGCTTTGCGATGCGCAAAAGCCTCGCGTTTCGTCTCGTGATTTGCGCGTGCCGGGGAGCAATCCCCGGGATTTCTCCCCCGTGTGAATACCCCTTGAACGCCTCACTTTTGTTCTAAAGACGTTCATATGTTCTTTAATTTACACTCGCGATTCAATGGTTTATTAATTGTGGGAGGTTCGCTATAATATGAAAATGCTCACAGAGATGAAGCGGTTTATGCTCGGTTCACCCCTAAGATGTCTCTAAGAAAGAACCTGTGCCCGCCGACAAATCAAGCGTCACCCTATTCAGCACCTCTCTCTCTCTCCCTCTGTAAATATGAGCGGGAAGGTGGCCACGTGGCAAACGTTTAACCTAAGACTGGTCCAAGAACCACGTAGTTCCCAGCCCACTCTCAGCCCAGAGGTGACCAGGGTGTACGATATCTAAAAACAAAGGCATTATTCACCGCGCGTTAAATTATCGCACGGTGAAATATATAAACAATCTTTTTTTATATGTAGTTCCTTACCGGCTCAAATATTCTATCACATGTACCATCTGGCAACGTGATTGGATAATCGCCACCCGAGCAAAATATTAAGCAGGTCGATTCACCCAGTCGGTCATATCCCTGAAAGAAAATTGGCATGCTATAAGACCTATAAATATGATAAAATAATATGTAGGTTTGACTAAACATTCGTGTTGATGATACAGAAAATATTCCATTTTTATAGTTTCACCGAACAAGTTTAGGCTAAATTATCGCCATTAAGATGGGGCACACAGTCGGTGATTGCTTGTCCATGTACCCCTGTTTAAACACTCAGTAACACAGTAATCGATATTTAAAGATATAAAGTATAACTTAATATATTATAACGTATAGCATATAGAAAGTAACATTGTACGGTGGTTCTTTTTTTGTATTGTACACTCTAAGAAAAAAGGTAGCGCGACTTAGTCCCCGAAGGGAGTAAGTGCGTTGCCACAACCATTAGTCCCCTCGGGGACTAACGGGAAGGGGAGTAACAGTTGCGCCCCTCTATTAGTCTCTCGCACTAGCACCGCTGGAACTGTTACACCGTTTCAAATGCACCTCGAGGACGAACTGTTAGGCTCTTGCACTTGGACGCCTGGGTCTAAACGTTGCGCCCTTAGATTTAGACCGCTGGGACTAAAGGTTTATCCTTTACACTTGATCCCGAGCCACAAATCTCCTGAATGAAATTGTGCAGTTCAGGTTAAACGTAGCTTTATTGCCTCGTAGATACACATCCCATTCAAGGATAACTGAACTCGGAGTTCCTGAGCAGTAGGCTTCACGATAAGACCAAATTCCGAAGAGTGCACTTGCGTCGACGATGGCTTGAACACCGGAACGGCTGTCCAAACCGGTCGTGGTCCAAGCACCGTTTAGTGGGGCACCTGCAGCGTCTTGCCTGTTGGCGAGGAATTTGGATTATGAGCAACAGGGGCAGCGTGAAATGCCCGATCGCTCAACAAATGTATGATATATTACACACACATATTAAAATAACAAATAGGCTACAAAAGTGCTACAATGGTTCACATCTAACATGCGATCTGTTGACAGCAGACCACCGCAATATTATATCTTTATTATACCGTTCGCTGCGAATTACAGACCCAGCGTGTGCGTGCTCAAACTATGCTTCAAAGTGACGGAACGAGCTCCCGCCATCAACGCGAAAGTCTCTACAATCGATTGAATGTCACCATTAAGGCCGTTTCTCGCACGCAGCGAAGCGCTGAAGTAGCGCTGCTCACGTGTCGTGAGCTGCTTTTCGTCTGCCATGAGCAACAGTTTTGACGGTGCGATACAAAGCTGGTGAAAGCTCCCGTCAGCACGCGCTTAGCGCTAAAAAAAAATGGGTTGTGTGTGTGTTTATACAGCCTAGAACTTGGTCTGCCTCACAGGGGCGACGAGTCTCCCAGCTGTAGATGAGAAATTTAGCCAGTGCGGCACAGCCGCTAGCCTGGGGTCTTTAACGTGCATCACGCAGTAGTGATACACGACCGCACGCCGGTACGATGCTCATCCAGATCGAAACGGGCAGGGGTGGGGCTCGAACCCAGGATCCCTGGGTTCTGCAGCGCGAGCTTTCGCTCCACGTGCTCCGAGCTGGTGTGCGCTAGACCACTCGGCCACCGATCCCCCCCGCTTAGCGCTAGGTCAGCGCTATGCTTGTAGCTCTCTGCTGCATGTGTAAACAGGCCTTTACGGTAAAGCGATCCTGCCAAGGTCTGCAAAACACAAAAAAATAAGCCATCGGTAGAACTGGCGTTTTGCTCGATACGATTGAATATCAGGTTCTGTGCTGCGTAACAAAACAAGCAACCATAGTGCCAAAAAGAATAGATCATGGCGCGTGCTTTGGAAGCTAGAGAACGCGCTCAAAATAAAGCACTTTCTGAAGCCGCAGTTAATGAATATACCATGAAGAGAAGTACTTCGGCATACCTTAATCGAGTTCCCTTTTCTTGTGACTTCAGAACAGATCAAGTGCAGTGTAGCAGTGAGAATCCAAACCGGAACCCACCATGATCGGAGACGACACCGCGAGAAAAAACGGCGACCAGCTTCAGAGTTCTGACGAAGGCTGTACTAAAAACAGGTTCTTTTCAAACAAAGACCCCTTCCCATTTTCCCGACGGACCCTCTCTGCCCCATCTGCCCTACCCCCGCGTGAGCGAGGAATGCGGGGTAGGGGGTTGGTCGGAGGGGGAAGGGAAATCTCTTTTCCCCGAAAATCTCTTGTCCCCCTTTTACTACACACGACACACGGACACACCAATGCCCGAGGGACGGGAGAAGGTCGAAGGTCGCCATTTTCAACACGCCGGTCAAGTGACGTACAAGCAAGCACTTTCTTTTTCTTTTTCTCTCTCTCTTTCTCTCTCTATTCAAGTTTCTCGGAAGCTTTTTTTTTTATAGTTCGCATTTGTTTTGTATTAGCAGGGTGTTACCATGAATGACGTCCGGGCGCGGTTCGTTCTTCGTTGTTCATCTGGAATGTTATCTGAAACATCAACGACGATGACATGAAAGCCTCTCGATACTGCCCCTGAATGTGCTTTTTGAGTGGAACGTGCCATGCATCAAGTGTGTCGTTGCGGATTTTGAGTTCGACATTGGACTACTAAGAAAGGTTGGTTACGGGGAGATGCAGAGACGAGGCGCTCGACCTGTTCTCAGTAACTCAGTTTTTGCGATTGAAGTGACCATTTATTTGGGAGTTTTCGTAGATCGTTTTCGCCGTCCCGAAAGGCCCTCCGCAACCCGCTACGATAGCGGGAACTCCGCAGTCAAGGCTACCGGCGCGCAGGCACAGTAGCAACTTCGTTGCGGAACGGTTAGCGGAGGAAGCAGCGCGGTCTACGAAAACTCCCTATTCTCACTGCGAGACTCCGGTGTTGAAATCGCGTCTTCTACAAACTCTTAAGTTTCATTTAAGAAAAAAAAAGTGTTGGTATCTGGAGGTGTTGCGTTTGGATTAATGCTCATTTTATTTGCGCGAATGGAAATTACGTTAATGGGACTTGTGACATGTCAACAAATCATTTTTGACGAGATACTTCGGTTAAGTAGAGTCAACACATTCGTTAATTCGCAATCGCACAACGCGCGAAGCTCTACAATGTAATGTCTCAACGTTCGTGGCTCATTAAACAACTTCGCCGGTATCGTCCGAGTTTTGTCAACACTTTCAGCCGTGCTGGGCTGACTCTCGCCGATCCGCAAGACAAGCGAAATATCATCCGTCCTCCTGGCGAACGTCCCGTTTGCCTTCGAGGACTAAATCATACAGATGCACCCTGTCTGAGAGGGACTAATGGCTGCTTTTGCTTGCGCACGCCTATCGGTTAGTCCCAGTCGAGCGCAGTTAGTCTCCAGCTTTTGCGCACGATACCTAGCTTGACCCAGATGGTCCTTACGTGGAGCTACTGGAAGTTCAGAGGACCAAATGCTGCCGTTAGTCCCTTGAGGCCAACTATTTTCTTAGAGTGTACGTATTGTACGGTGGTTCTTTCTTCTGTACGCAGTAGCTCAAGCTTATACAGGTTCGCATAATTTTTGCTCGACTTTCGTTTACTGCAGTCAGTAAAAAAAATTGATAGAGCTCTAGAAAACTTACTACACAGACAATAAATTATGATTATGGACATTATCAAGTATTCAACAACGATCCTGCTTGTTCGGTATTCACTTCCCTTGATTGAAGGTGGCATATGAACCGATGTGTATGAGACGACGTCCTTATTATAATGCTTTACAGCTGTAGACTCTGATGCTGTAAAATTAAGACGCTAAATACAACTGATATCGTGCACTACCACGTATTCTAACACATTCTAGCCGTGGTGCTGGATGCGATGACGTCATCAGGGAAGGCCAAGGCTGGACACAGGTTGCAAACAAGTGCTGCGTCAGCGCTCGGCTTTGAGTCAAGTGTGAGACGAACCGTCTCGCTATCGTCATGTGCAAAACGTGCCCAGAGTTGGCCTTCTTTGATGACGCTATTTGGTTCAGCGCTATAGCGTTATAATCTAAGAGGTGTTGCGCCGAGGTGCGGTGGAATGTGAACGTGTTCAGTTGCCACTCTGCCGTCGCGGTAGTTCTTCGCTCTTGTTTCTCGTAGTAGCGGTGCGTGATATTTGGTGTGTGTATGTGTGTGTGTGTGTAGTTAAAAAGATTGATGCTGTTCCCTTTACGAGTGATATTAATGTGGTTCTTGTCCCGAGTGATATGGATGACCGTGTCCAAAGGCGTCGACGTACTCTGTCATGCAGTGTGCAGAAAAGAATACAAAACAAAAACAGTAAGATGCATTGGTGTACTCTCAGAGAATACGTTTTCACAACCGCTCCCCTTTGAGAAACACGAACACTGGCCACGTAACAAGTCCAGAAAAAGGGCAGCAAAAATAGTGCAAGCAAGAGAAAGACAAAAGATAAAAGTGAAGGGGACAGCGTTAGCTTTTCCCAAAGGGGGACCTGTGTAGCGTTACGAAGGATCATGCTTACGCATTCCCTAAAAATCCACTAACGAATATTCCTGTCATTTATTATTCATCACGCCATGCACAGTCAGTGGAATTTCAGCCTACACTGATTTTGTAGCAGATTGGTGGCGATCTCGTGAAAATGATAGGTATACATATTTCGACAGCGGTGGAATTTATTATAAACCGAGGCGACCGCAAATGCATAATGTTTGAGTCGTGGGCGTGACTTATTGCTTCGCCCGCATCCCAAGTTTTTATATCTCGGTATAATGAATTGCTAAAAAAAAAACAAGAAACTTCGACATTATCATTGCATGCTAACACTAAAAATACTCAGCTATCCATTGTATCAGCTTAATTCAAGACGCAACCGATACTACGGTGTGATACGACCAATAAAAAAGCGCCAAAAGCTCTAGTCATTAGGACTTTTATGTTTGTGATTGGTTAATCATTAACAAAACACGTGCAGAACCACGACGAACGCCACGATGGTGCTCTTTTGACTCATCATCTCGTAACGTCTGCTGCGCCTAGAATTCAAGTGAAACGAAGTATAGGCGACCCAATTGTATCACTAGCGCTGACTCATGCTTTGTTT